TCCACAGGGACATTTTGGGTAACATGCCATTTTCCCCGGGACGCTCAATGGTTCTGTGAAAACTCCGCCGGGGCAAAATGTGCCAAACAGGGACTGTCCCGGTAAAAAAGGACAGTTGGTCACCCTAGTTATTAAATAGAATTTAATACAATACTAAACATTATAGATGAAAAATTTATACGAGTGCCCGGAATTGATACCCTGGCCAATGGATTCTCACTCTTAACCCCTTCTAAATACAAGGGTCTCATTTGGACGACAATTAGTGATGCAAACGAGACGACTAATGGTATATACAAATGCAATATTGAATACAAAACCAACAAAACAGTGGCATATATGGCATCGGATGTCCTCAAAGTTAGCTATAAATTTGGTATTAAAATTAATAATAAAAATATATTTATAATAATTAAAAGTGTATAATTTTTTACAGAGAAAGTATTATTGAACGCAAACGAGACAAACCAATCATTTATAAAACACGCAAATATAAGCCTATTATGCGATTACAATCTATTACCAAATGACACGTTTAAAAGTTTGCAGTTTTACAAAAATGGTTATAAATTTTTCAGTTATAGCAATGAAAATAGGCGTAAGTTTTAATAGTGGATAATAATTGCAAATAATTACAAATATTTGCATCTATATTACAGATCGCAGCAGAAAAATGACCGGTATAAATAGACTAACATGGTTAAATAGACCAGGTTCATTAAATCTGACCATCATAAATGCTACAAAAGAAAGTAATGGAGAGTATGTTTGCGAAATCCAATGGTATAATAAATATAACGGACTTTCACTCAAAATTCAGTCAAACATACAATCATTTAAATACAACAATAATTTTAGCACTAATTTAATAGCATCTCATGTATTGCCGGCTATTATTTCATTCACAATACTCTATAATCTCTCATAAAAGTGATCTTTATGTTTTTATTATATTATAAAATAACGTTTGATAAAACATTATTATTTTATTGAAAATTTAATTGTTATATAACTGTTTTAAAATTTATTATAATTTTTCAAAACTAATAAAATGCTATCAAATAGTTATAGAATATTTTGCTAAATTTAAAAATTTTGTAATGGTCAATTGACGTAAAACTATCAATAGATAAATACAATATTAACAAAACTAAATATTAGTTAGCTAGCTAAATCTTATTAAATTTATTTGATTATAATTTCATATTTGATTTGTTTATAAGAGTTCAAAGCAATTAAAGAAATATTAACGCAATAAATTATTATGCACTTTAAATGAATTTCTTAACGCAATAAATCAAAGCAATTAATTAATTAAGATAATACATTACTTTATTAATTAGATTTTATTTACAATTTAAATAGTAATAGTGCATATGCGGCATATGAGATCATCAGATGATATGATATGCCACCTAGTTGATTTAGTTAAAATTCATTATTTTCAATTTTTAATGCGATAAATTGAAAGTTGATTGAAGCGTTGATTAAAATTGAAGCGACATCTTTCATGTCGCATTTTAACAAGACATATCTTTTTCGGAATAGTATTGAAATTCTGGTACAATTTTAGCTATTATTATATCTACTATTATATTATTAAATTAATTTATTATTTTAAATAACAAAATGTGTTAAACCGAATGCTATTCATAAAATATTATTTGAAAAACAAATCTCGGTATGTTGAAATGCCGTGTATATCTAACATAATAGTCATTACACTCAAATTAAACAACCATGGTTAGATTTAATTATTGATAGTTGAAAACTAAACCCAATACACCCTCAATCAGGGATGAAAACACAGGTATAAGTTGTTGTCCGTTTGAAGCCCTCTATCGGGACGCGAACCCACAAACAAAGTGTGATTTATTGATTATAAAGTTCCCAAATTACTGGGCTTTTAATCATATACACCATCGAGACTTGTTTATTTACCATAGTGTTTTATTAATATTTAATTATACAATCTTACTCATCCAGTCACCTTTGCATTTAAATGAATAAATGAGTCATAAGATTATGGGATAAATTAATATAATATCAAAATATTATTACAAATAAATTGATTTAATTTAAACAAACATTAAAATAAAATTAACTTTAAAATTAATATTGAAAATCCCATGATGGCTCTAATTAATATCATAAGTACAGTGTAATAAATATATATTTTAACTTATAATTAATTAAATATTTTGTTTTCTATAAAAATATTTGTAAAACATATTTGCATTCAAAAGTATTTCAAACATTTTTAGTTACTTTCAAACATAAAAACACAATAATATCTGTTATAAACATGAATACATTATTTGTAACATTGTATTTATATTTACAAATAGCCAACAATTTTGGCCACATTTTGGGCATAAGTGTCACTTTAGTCAAGACTGAGCTCTCATGGCCTCCAAGTGCTCGCAATTTGCAATTTCATTGCAGTTATATTTTTGAGTTAAACCAAAATCAAGTGATAAAACGGATTGATATGAGTAAAGACAACAGAATATTCTACTCGGTTGAATACGCTGGCAATGGGGACAAATTATCAAGTAACTTTTTCTATTTTTATTCAAAATGTAATAATTCTTCTTATTCCGAATCATGTATTTTTAATTAAAGCTAATTTCACCACTTTACCGGGTCTAAATAAACTAACAACCAACAACACCATGGCCAAAATTGCCTACAATTCAGGCTGGAGTCAAATAATCCTACATAACGTCAATAAACAGACCTTGGGCAAATACAAATGTCATTTACATTTCGCGATTCACGATATAATGCATGTGATTGACTCGGAACCTGTTATGGTTTTTNAATTCAGGCTGGAGTCAAATAATCCTACATAACGTCAATAAACAGACCTTGGGCAAATACAAATGTCATTTACATTTCGCGATTCACGATATAATGCATGTGATTGACTCGGAACCTGTTATGGTTTTTAGTGACCAGGGTAAATACACTTGTAATTTTAACTTATAATCAATCTTATAAAAATTTACATAAACAATTAACGTTATAATTTCGACCAAACAATTACTAGAAAGCGTACAATTGATGATCAATGACAACCATCGGCGGTATAGTCGGTGCCAAAACATCGACGTGAACTGCGACTACCAATTGCTGCCAAACGACACCTTTATATACATTCATTTCTACAAAAATAATGTCAATTTCTTTCAATTCGTGGACCAAAAAAATTGTAGGAATTCTTATATAGTATTAATCATTATAATATTGATTTAATTAATTGTATCAATAGATTAATTAATAATTATATAAATATTTTTACAGATAAATTTACGCCAATAGATGGCATTAAGGAAATGTCATGTTCACACAACCATAATCATTTTAAACATGAAGTTCACTTGAGCATCATGAATGCCCAGAATAATACGGCCGGTGCCTACCGGTGCGAGGTGAATTTCACAAATATATACACGCCTTACAAATACAACAATATTTCCGATACAAAGACTATTGAATTCGATCCAAACAATGCATCAAATGCTTTATTTTTGGACAAAAATCTCTATTTCATTATTTTATTCACAATTATTTGTGCACTGCTTTAGAGACTCTTTAAATATTGTGATAAACTTATGTTTTTATATATTTTACATTTTTGTTAAAAATAAATAATTGCAAAAACTGTATACTTTATTTTAACTTAATATTAGATGAATTTTTATAAATAAAAATAACAAAAATGACAAAAATTATTATTTTTAATCAAAATGTCACTTAATTTTAAAGATAACAATTGGAATAAAATTCTTATTCATAGAAAAAATAAATGATAATTATTAACAACATTTTTGTGTAATACTAGAGATCCTAAATCCCACACAATTTATTAAAGGGCGTTACTTTTATAAAAAGAATTAATTAATTTCAATCCTGATTAATAAAATAATGTTTATTTTTTAACATTAAGAATAACATAAAAAACATGATTAGTAATACCACTAAACACTACTACCAAAAAAATTAATACTTGTATTGCATCTAAAGTCTTAAGGTAAATAATAGCCCAAAATTCACCTTTTATTGTAAAAAGTAATCACCAAGGTACTGATACTCTCTACATTTTATCTGCACTTAACCATAACAACTGATAATAAGGGTGAAATTAGAGCAACGGTAACAATGATATCTCAAATACCGTTTAGTATCAAAAAATAAAACAATTTTAAACAAAGACGAGTGAAAAAAATCAACATGTTTAAACTAATAATTTTGACCACAATCACACTAAACCTGGTAAACCACTGCATTTGTGTGGACCCGGAGATACAGTTCTCGCACTCAGACATCGGCGCGAGTTTTATATTGAAATGCGAATTACATTACGACAAATCGGAGGCCACTTTCAGCCGCTTTGAGATCAGCAAAGACTCTGCCATTTATTTCACGTACGGCGAGAATAAGCGTAAGTTTTGCCCAACAATTCCCACACATAAACCCATTATAAAAACATATATCAAACGCAGAGAAAAACTTCAAACGGATCGATGGCATCGATAGGCTAGAAATGGACACATCATTCATGCAAACGGAACGGGTGTCCAGTTATGCACACGTGGAGAATGAGATCAAATACGGCGGCCCACAGAC